GCCTGGGGAGAGCCCAGCTCCCGGGCGGCGGCCGCGGCCGTCCGCTGGCTAAGCGCCCTTCCCCGCAGCCGTCCGTGCCCGTGAGTCACGTAGGGCCGGGCCCGCCGTGCCCGCCGTGCCGAGGCCCCTGGCGGGTTTGGTGTCGGCTAAACTGCAGTCCGCGGTGGAGGTGGAGCCTTCGGGGCTCTACGCGGACGGGATCTCTTGTGGCTTCCCTTCCCCGGGAGGGGAGAAAGTCCAGTCCTGTGCTGCCAGGGTTGATGAGTAACTTGGGCTGCATCCTGGCCCGCCTGCTACTTTTGTTAATTTTAACCACCGTTCCAACCGCCGCCGGTCTCCTCGGGGAGCTCCCCGCCCCCACCCGAGCGGGAGCTCTGACCTCAGGCTCCGCGTACTCCTGCCTGCTTCTCGGCCTTTCCTGGGCCCTTGCAGTGTAACAGCAGGACCGGGCTCTCGAGGGGATGGCTTGCGTGTTTGGGGACCTCTGAAGCGTCTAGAAGCTAGAGCCTGGGGTCCTGCTGGGAGGGAGGAGTGTCAGAGGACAATGGTGGCCCCTTTTCAAGTTGAGGTTAAATGGATGGCTCGTTTTTTCTGTCCTTCTGAGCTTCTAAGCTGGCTGACGGCCTTGGGCCCAGGCTGGGCTCCTGGCTGCTGGGCTCCTGCAGAGCACACCTTGCTGACTTCTCTCCTTTCTCTCCACAGCATCGTCCCAGACATAGCAGTTGGTACAAAGGTAGGCATTTTTCACATTGCTTTTTACACTGCTTGGCCTTTGCTCCCGCGCTGATCCTGGGCTCATGTTCTCTGCTGGCTTGAAAGGTGCACAGTGAGGTTGGTTCTTGAAGCATCTCTCAGGCTTACAGTATATATTGGGCTGGGCTGGTTTGCCCACCAGGAACTCTACGGAGCATAAGTGTGAGCCCTGAGCAGGTCACCAGGCCACGTGTGAAGTTGGAGCAGGCTGGGTTTGCTGAGTGGCCCTCAGCGCAGATCTCTTTACAGTGCACTGTTTTCCCTCAGAGGTGCTGCACCCTCTACCATGGGAGCTTACAACCTCAACCTCTTTATGCTTAAAATTCAGATGAGCCTCAGAACAAAAGAGCTGGGTGTGGTGGCACATCTTGTAATAATTCCAGTGCTTGGGAGGCTGAGACAGGAGGATCATCAACCTGGGCTGCATAATGAAATCATGTCTCAAAAAATAAAGCCCCTTGGACTGTGGAAGAAGTTAGGGTGTCCTGGGCATTGTGGGGGCACAGTAAGATCCAGGGCGTTTGATGGCGCTCATGAAGTGTGTGTTGTTGGCGTTTTGCTTCAGAAGGGCATATTGCGTTGTCAGAAAGTTTTCTGTGATTCTTGTGGCATACCTTCAGGTAAGTGGAGATGGAGTGGCAGCAGTCTTCTCAGCACTAGGAGGAATGGTTTTTCCTTTTTTTGAGGTGGGGTCTCAGTGCTGCCCAGACTGGTCCTGAGGGGATCAGCTCAGCTTCATGAATAGCTGGTACTGTGGGCTTAAGCCACCTTGGCTGGCGCTGACAGTTCAGACCGTTGGCAGCCTTTGAGGCCAGAGCTTGACTAGCTGCTCTGGAGAAACCACCACCAAGTCCTAAATTGTCTTGGAAAAAGGCCCTGTGAGTTCCACGGAAGGGGTGTGTGGGTCCAGGACTGGTCTCCCTGCTTGGCTGTAGCTGGGGCAGGGGGCGTCCTGTCCCCATGTGCACTGCGGGACCAGCCCAGCTTGGGCATCCTGAGCAGAAGATGGCTGGTTTATGGTCAGTCTGGTGTTTCCCAGACCAGGTTTCAGTTTTTCCCCATGGGCTGCAGTCTGCATGAAGCCTGCAGATCTTCCTGCAGATAAAACCTGTTTGTTCAGTGGCTAGAGGAGAGGGTGGGACTTTCATCTGAAGCCTTGGGTGGAGGAGCTTGTCTGGGGCTGCTGCCTTTCAGCCCGATTTCCCTAGGGCTGGCCCATCTCTTCTTGGGCCGGGACAACACAGGCTTCTGCTGCCTACCCCCAGCCTCCTGGGCTTTGCCCCAGGCTGAGAGGGCTGCTACTGTGAGAGGGGACCGTGTGGGAAGCTGAGGGGTCTCCCAAGGGGGAGCTGCCTCGCGTGTGGTAGCTGTCAGCTCCTACACACAAGGCTTCTTGATGCTACACCCATTGGTGCTCAGGAGACTTGGAGGTGAGTGTAGGGCATGGCCTGACCTTGGCGCTGTGGTGTTGGGCAGGCGTCTGTTTGAGGTGCTGCCGTGTAGACCGGGTCTGTGGTGGAATAGGCATGGGGCTGCCTGCAGACGGGCGTGGGCGTGCTCTCCCTGCCCAGGGCCCAGCTGTTAGGACTCCTGGCGGGTGGCCAAGAGCTCACTGCCAGGAAGTGTGGCCCTGCCCACACTGCACCCAGGCGGAAGCCCAGATGCCCCTTTAAGGTTAGTGTGGCAGCACGTGGGGAGCTGCATGGGTGACTGACCCCCATCTGGCTTGTGGGAGGACCAGCTTTGGTGTCCCTGGCCTTACAATCCTGGGGGGAAAGTGGCTATGGCAGGAAGCGACTTCCTGTGGTTTAGAAAAGCTGACAAGATTCTGGGTTGAGGCTTTACATCTCAGGCATACCTGCCGAAGGTGAGCAGCCTTTACCTGTTTCAAGGTAACCTGACTTCCCCCACGTGGCCCTGGTCACCACCAGTAGACACAGCCACATCCCAGCCTGGGGCATCTGGGTCTGCACATGGAGAGGGCTGGTTGAAGCCATGTGTATGGAACTTACCCTGAAGTGGCCCTTATAGCTCTTCTGCCTCCTGGGTGAGGGCCCATGTAACCCCACTGCAACTCCTACAGCTTGTTGGCCTTGTGTTGAGCAGTGTGTACCCTTTGGGGATTGCAGGGTGGCAGGTTTCAGGCCCTTCACCCCCCACAGGCTGTTGGAAGACGCCTCCATGGTGTCTTCCCCCATTTCCAGGCCTGGGTGCTCCTGGTGGGGATGGGTGGTCATGGGCTTACCAGTAGCGTTTCAGGTGGTGGTGGGGTGTGAGGTGTCCTTGAAGGTGGCCTTGGGAGAGACAGGTGGTCAGAAAGGCAGGTGAGGGAGGAGGTGAGCAGAGGGCAGAGTTCTGGTGCTGCCACTGCTCTTGGCCTTCCTTTCTGGCAGACAGAGGTGGAGTCTGCTGCTTTGCCCACCAACCCTCTCCAGGCAAGCACTCGGGGCAGAGGGCACCTGTGGGATGGGTGGCATCCTCAAGCCGAGGAGCCCAAGGGTCTCCTGCAGTAGCAGCGTCAGGCCAGGGTCTTGGGCCCGAGTGCTTGTTGGGTGACCAAGAACTGTCCCAGCATCTCCAGTTTCACCTTTTGATTCTTGTTTTGTGTCTTCCAACTTTGTGGGGAGGGGCATCTGCCATCCTGGGGCCAGATTCCAGTTCCTAATATTATTCCTGAGGGGTGGCTGAGTAAGCCAGGGAGCCCAGGCCAGGCCCATGGCATAAAGGGGTAGTGTCTTACCCAGGAAAGTGTGCTGAGGCCCGAGGGTCAGGTTTCCTCGGGCAGCTGGGAAATAGGGCAGGCTCCTGGGCTATAGAGCCTGGTGGCTTCAGTGTGATGGGAACTTTGTCTCTGGAAACCACTGCCAGAGCAGATTGAGCACCAGCTTGTAGCAACAGGGCCATAGCTGTGTGCTGTTGTGTGTGTGGGGTCTCCACATAGCTACTGGCATGGGCCCTAGTCACAGAGTTGGGCGTGGGGTTGTGCAGAGTACATGTTCCCGTGTGTGGCAGGAACAGGATGGGAGCCTAGGGTGAGCTAAGGCCTTGCTTTATCTAAGGACTTGGGCATGCTAGCCACTACAGGGCAGCATCTGTCTTCTCTTCCAGCGGGGATCTGACGAGCTCTTCTCTACGTGTGTCACCAACGGGCCCTTTATCATGAGCAGCAACTCGGCCTCTGCAGGTAATGTGCGCCTCAGCCAGGCCTAGCCCATGCAGCCTGTGGGTGTTCCTTGGGTTAAGACGGGGTGCTGGTCACTCCACTGGACTTTGCACCCTCTCCACCTCAGACTATCTGGACCTTCATGATCTGTTCTGGATCCAAAGCAGTTTATGCCAGGGAATTTGTGGGGCCCAGACATATAGAGTGTGTAAAGCAGCGGTTTTAGGGCCTTGACCTCAGGCCCCTGGGTTCTCAGGTGGCCTGCAAGGTAGTGCTGGCTTCTCAGGCCTAAGAGACCACCTGCCCTTTTCCAGCAAACGGAAACGACAGCAAAAAGTTCAAAGGTGACAACAGGAGCGCTGGCGTCCCCTCCAGAGTAATCCACATCCGAAAGCTGCCTGGCGACGTTACCGAGGGCGAGGTGATCTCCCTTGGGCTGCCCTTTGGGAAGGTCACCAATCTCCTGATGCTGAAGGGGAAGAACCAGGCTTTCATCGAGATGAACACGGAGGAGGCGGCCAACACCATGGTGAACTACTATACCTCAGTGACGCCTGTACTGCGTGGCCAGCCCATCTACATCCAGTTCTCCAATCACAAAGAACTCAAGACCGACAGCTCCCCGAACCAGGCGGTGCGTGCCCATACGGGCGGGCGGGCTGGTGGCAGGCCCAGGGTGGGCCAGGCTGAGCCCCTGGGCTCATGGCAGTGTCCCCACAGCGGGCGCAGGCAGCACTGCAGGCTGTGAACTCAGTCCAGTCGGGGAACCTGGCCCTGGCTGCGTCGGCTGCCGCCGTGGATGCGGGGATGGCGATGGCTGGGCAGAGCCCTGTGCTCAGGATCATTGTGGAGAACCTCTTCTACCCTGTGACCTTGGATGTACTGCACCAGGTGAGGCCACGGGCAGGTACCGTGTGCAGGGCGGGAGTGGTTCTCAGGCTGTCATGCTCACAGCCACCCTGGGCCCTGCAGATCTTCTCCAAGTTTGGCACCGTCTTGAAGATCATCACCTTCACGAAGAACAGCCAGTTCCAGGCGCTGTTACAGTACGCCGACCCTGTGAGCGCCCAGCACGCCAAGCTGGTGAGTGGGGGTCCTGGGAGATGCCTGCCCTGGTCCTGGGCTGCAACCGGCTGTGGCTGACGGGCCTTTTCCTGCAGTCTCTGGATGGGCAGAACATCTACAACGCCTGCTGCACGCTGCGCATTGACTTCTCCAAGCTTACCAGCCTCAATGTCAAGTACAACAACGACAAGAGCCGCGACTATACACGCCCAGACCTGCCCTCTGGTGACAGCCAGCCCTCGCTGGACCAGACCATGGCCGCGGCCTTCGGTAAGATGTTGTCCTGCTATGGCACTGAGTGCGTGCGGAAAGCTCCAGAAAGAATGGGCCTCAGCAAGCCCGGGGAGGGGAGGGGACAGACGGCTAGGTAGTCAGTGCCCTGAGGCCCTGCAGCCCTGCTCCCAGGGAGATGGCCCTGCCCCTTGCACGCCAGCACCGGCCAGTGAGGGCGCCCACACCCAAACATCCAGCCCTCAGCAGCGGACCACGCTCGGGTCGCCCTGTGGCGGGCGTGGGGCCAGTCCGGCGGCACAGCTCTGGCTTGGTGGAGGTGGAGGGTGCGATGGTTAGTGTCTCGTTTATTTCTAGGTGCACCTGGTATAATCTCAGCCTCTCCGTATGCAGGAGCTGGTTTCCCTCCCACCTTTGCCATTCCTCAAGCCGCAGGTACTCAACACTTGACCTTGACCCCAGCGCCTGCATGCCCACACCACCTCTCCACACAGCCACGCTTCCACGGGCGGCTGGCACGGTCCCCTGGGCACTGGCCGTGCCGAGCCACGGGGCCCCTTCCTGGGAGAGGGGACGGGAGCCGCAGGGGCAGCTGCGCCCATACAGGGCTTGGACAGGGCAGGCGGTAGACAGGGCAGGGCTGTGAGCCTGCGTGTCGGGCACTGGTGTTGGTCAGGAGCCGCTAACCGCGCAGTCTTTGGTCTGGTTCCCTTCAAGCACCGGGGCGAGGACGAGGACGCAGTGTGTGGAGGGATGCGTCCCTCGTAGATTGAATTGAGTGGCCTGGTAAGCAAGTGGCCGCCAAGGCTGAGGAGCATGTGCTGGCGGCGCCCCGGCACCACGTGCCGCGTCGCAGCCACTAGTGCCGTGGGTGCCGAGTGCGTGCTGGCCGCCCACGTCTGCATGGAGAATGGGCGCGCATGCGCCGCCGCGGCGTCCTGTGGCAGGCCCTGCTTGCAGAGGGCCTGTGTCTGCCTCGGCGGACAGAGCTTTTGTGCTGTTGCCGCATGTGGAAGGGTCCACACCAGGCACCTCTGGGTGCTGTCCGCAGCCGGGTGCGGTGTGCTGGCCGAGCACCTGCCTGTGGCCGTGCCCAGATCCCGAGAGGCTCTTGCCTTGTGGAGGGCCGGAGCGGGCCGCCATCCTCGGTGCCCTGTGTGCATGACGGGTGCCTGTGCCGTCGCGTCGCTGGTATCACACCCTTTGCTCACCCCGCCTGCCTTCCTTCCAGGCCTGTCTGTCCCCAATGTGCATGGAGCGCTGGCGCCCTTGGCCATTCCCTCTGCGGCGGCGGCAGCAGCGGCAGCAGGTCGCATCGGCATCCCAGGCCTGGCGGGGGCCGGGAACTCTGTCCTGCTGGTCAGCAACCTTAATCCAGAGGTATGTGGGCACTAGGGCCGTGCGGGGCAAGTGGTGCCGGGTGGAGGTCTAGTGGCTGCGCCACCAGCAGAAGGGGCCTTGGTCTCCCAGGGTCTGAACCTGACAGCTGCACCCGCACGCTGATGCGTCTGCTGTGTCGAGACTGGCTCATGTTCGCCTCTTTCCCAGGATGCTCTGAGTTTCCTGTTTCCCTACTCTGTATTTTCAATTCCGTAACTTGAGAGTTGAGACGCTTTGCCACTTAGTACTCAGGACAGGCTAAATGAACTTGGGGAGCCCCATGGGCTCTTGGCGGTCAGGCTGGACACGGTGTCTGTCGCATTAAGCGCAACCGTGTTTGTGAGGATTATTGCTCTGGAGAGCTGGAAAGGCTAGAAGCTGCCCCCCAAATGGGGTTGGCCCTGGGTCAGTGAGGTTCCGGTCGTTCCTGCCTGCAGCTTTCCCGGGTCGGGGCGGGCAGCCTGAGTCTCAGCCTCGAGGGGCCGCCAGCGGTGCCGAGCTAGGTCACTCAGGAGCCGGGAACTAACCGCTCACTGCCGAGCAGAGAGACCAGCCTGTGCGACCTTGGGGCTGTGGCGCAGTGGCGGTGGGGAGAGACAGCCAGACAGCCAGTCCCGGCACCTGCGAGCCGCTCCCCCAGCCGTGTCCGCGAGGTAGAGCTGTTAACTTGCGTGTGTGTGTGGAGTGTGACTGGAACACTGCCTTGTTTCCTTATGTATTTACTGACCTGTGTTTTTTGCTACTTTTTTTTCTTTTCTCCCCTTCCCCTTTCCCAATTTTTTTTCTTGCCCTGATCCGGAATTTCTTTGCCAACTGACTGCACGGTTCTTCTGCTTCCTGTTGTTGCTTGAAACAAAAAAAACATAAATAAATAAAAACAAAAATTCCCCCTCAAACCCTGCTCTCCGGAAACCAACCTGCCCTTGAAATTAACATCCTGACAACTTCATCGTCCATCAACCGCTGCACGCCTGCGGGACTGTCTTCCTCGGGGTGGACGATGGCACCTCGTCCCCCCGACCTCTCCCTCTCCCCTGTCCCTCCGCTGCCTTGCTCTGCTGTCCTCTAAAGAGAGTCACACCCCAAAGCCTCTTTATTCTTTTCGGTATGTTATTCACACTTTTATTATCTTGTTTTCGTTTAATTGAGATTATTTTTAAGCCCTGACATGTACTATGAGTTTGGAGTTTGGCATTCGGCCTTGTATGTGGTTTGCTTCCGGTTTGCGGACTTTACACCTGGCCATAGATTCGCATGGTTTACGGCCCTGCATGCTGCTCCGAGAGTTCAGCGTGTCGGTAGCATGCGAGCGTGGTCGCTCTCCACAGTCTCCCTGCCTTGGGCTTTTGACTGCTGATTTAGTGGCTCCTGTCATGGCCCTGGGCTGCTAGGCTCCCGGCGGCAGAATAAGCAAACCTGGTCAGGCTGAGCAGAGCCTTGAGGGAGGGCGGGGTGGGAGTTGGGCTGAGGCCGCACCACTCAGCCTCTGTCCTTGCTGGGCTTTTGAAGGCGTCTACGGTGATGTGCAGCGGGTGAAGATCTTGTTCAACAAGAAGGAGAACGCGCTGGTGCAGATGGCGGATGGCAGCCAGGCCCAGCTGGGTAAGGCCCAGGCTGAGAGGGCGGGGCGGGCAGAGCTGCTCCCACCAGGCCCTGGGTGACCTGACTGCCTTCCACAGCCATGAGCCACCTGAATGGGCACAAGCTGCACGGGAAGCCAATCCGCATCACATTGTCGAAGCACCAGAACGTGCAGCTGCCGAGGGAGGGCCAGGAGGACCAGGGCCTTACCAAGGACTATGGCAACTCGCCCCTCCATCGCTTCAAGAAGCCTGGCTCTAAGAACTTCCAGAACATCTTCCCGCCCTCTGCCACACTGCACCTCTCCAACATCCCGTGAGTGCTCACAGGAACTGACACGTGGTCCTCAGGCAGTGCGGGGATGGAACCTAGGGCTTTCAGGTCCGGTAGGTGCTCACCACTGAACCATATGGCCAGCACCTGAGTGATGCCAAAACTTAGGAAAACAGTGGGGTGGGTACTACTGTGCTCTGGAACTCAAGGTCTTCCCTGAGCTTCACCCCCAGCCCTTTCATAAAACTTGAGGTGATCTCAATGCATTCCTAACTTGCGTAGGTTGGGCTCAGACCTGTGGGGCTGGATGACAGGGTTGCAGCACCGAGCTGGGTTGTTGGCTTTCAAGGGAGCATGGCCCATCCAGGGTGTCCCGCTCACGGCCTAGCGTGGGCTCCTGAGCCTTTCTCAGGGACATTCAGAGCCAGGCAGCCTGGCTCACATGTATAATCCCAGCACTTGGAAGGCTGAGGACCACCCTGAGCGTGAAGCCAGTCTGAGCTGTGTAGTGAGACCCTGTCTCGGAAAAAGAAAATCAAGGCCGCTTCAGGTCACTAAGGACATTTCTTGTCCCCTGCTGGGTTCCAGAGAGCCTTCATGGACGTGGGGAGCTGTGGTCTGCCGTGGTGACCCTGCCAGTTCACACATCCTCTCTCTCCACAGGCCCTCAATATCCGAGGAAGACCTCAAGAGCCTCTTCTCCAGCAATGGGGGTGTGGTGAAGGGCTTCAAATTCTTCCAGTGAGTACCTGGGCACCAACCCCTCCCCCCTGCCCCAGGCCACAACCCCCCTTGGCTGCCTGCCCTCTGACCCCTCCTCCTTGCAGGAAAGACCGCAAGATGGCGCTGATCCAGATGGGCTCAGTGGAGGAGGCCGTGCAGGCCCTCATTGATCTGCACAACCACGACCTGGGCGAGAACCATCACCTTCGGGTGTCCTTCTCCAAGTCCACCATCTAGGGTGGGCCTGTGGCCAGGCGCCATGGCGCCAACTTCCGTCATTCCAGAAAAAAGCCACTTTAAAAAGCAGCTGAAGTGACCTTAACAGACCAGAGATTTTATTTTTTTAAAGAGAAATCAGTTTACCTGTTTTTAAAAAAATTAAATCTAGTTCACCTTGCTGACCTTGCGGTGACGTGACAGCTCAGGCTCCCAGGGGCGGCGGCAGGGGTCTTCACTGCCCCAGCGTGGCGGGCCCATGGGAGGGCACCCAGATCACAGTCTGCTCTCGCGTGCCTTAACCTGCCTGCCTCGGCCACACCACCTGCAGGCCAAGTCAGGCCAGGCCAGGCTCTCGCCTGGCAGCCACCAAGCAGCCTCCGGCTCCCTCCCACGAGATCATGTGCCCAGTGCTGGGTGGGAGCCTGCTGGCCAAGGCCGGTTGACCCCCCCACCCCACTTAATCAAGTGATGGATCAAGTGATTCTCCCCTGCCCAGCCCCCCAGGTGCCGCGGCGCCTCGCCCGGCCAGGCCCAGAGGGCACCGACCTGCTGCCTCAGCTGTGGAGCCCTCATTGTAATCTCTGTATCATACTCTGGCTGCAGATGCTGTGCCTAGCAATATCCAGTTGACCAAATATTCTAATCTTTTTTCATTTATATGCAATAGTTTTAAGTAACTTTTTATAGCAAGATGATACAATGGTATGAGTGTAATCCATGCTTCTCGTATTACTTTGTATGCTGTACTTTTATTTTATTCCTTGTAATTAATGAAGTCACAGGCAGGATCCGGTCTCCAGCGCTGGCGACGCCCGGCACTCAGGAACCTGAGGCCAGGAGCCAGGTTTCCTCGCAGGACCTGGGCTGGCGCCCGCCTTCCTCCACCTGCAGTTGCCTTATCCAGCTCCACTTGCAATCTGCCTAGACAAACAGTGCGGGCTGTTTCAGGGTGTTTCCTTTTCCTTCAAATTTTGGACCAAAGTTTTATTTCTGTTTCTTGTCTGCCTCTGGTGCTGGGGCCCAGGCGGTGGGACCAGCGTCCAGCCCACTGCACTCTCCACCACCCTCTGGGTCGCCCCAGCAGCAGGCAGGGGTCTCCTTGGATCCTGAGTTCCTTAGCGGAGTGTAACAAGGGTGTAAATATTTGTGATTTTTTTATACCTGTTGTCAGACACGGAGGCAGCGCGTTGCAGTTTTTTACGGTGACAGATGTATATTTTGATAACGGCGGTTACCGGCTCAGTGTTGCACACAGCAAGCCGAGGCCACACATTCCACTCGCCCGTCCCGATGGCTTGTAACGGGAAGAACTGATTAAAACTTTTATAACAAACTCCAGCCTTTCCTGTAGACCTTTCTTGCTGTTCACATTGTAGAAGGCAGTCAGCCAGTCTGTACCTGGACTTTGAATAAATTTCTATGTCCTGCGCTTCTGATTTCCCTCTTTATTGGGCCTGTTGGACTTCACTGGTTGCTTTTTGTGAGTGAGCTCGGCCTGTTTAACCACAACGACTCGCCTGGAGTCCCTCTGGGCCACGTGTCCTTTGTGTGCCCCGCCCCCAAGCTCTGGTGGCTTTAGGGCCTAGGTGGGTGAGGCCCACCCTCCACGCAGGAGGGACAGTGGTGGGCTGGGGCCCCTTGACAAAGGACCCAGGGCCCGGGTTTCAGGAAGTGGTCTCTTTATTGATCTCCAGACACCCCGCCCGGGTCCCCTCCCGCGCGCCCCCATGTCCTGCGTTCAGTCCGGGAAGCGGCGGGCCTGCATCCTGCGGTAGTAGCTCTCCGCCTCCGCCTCGCCCACCTCGCGGTCGCTGGGGCCTGGCCCGCCCACCGGGCGCCGCAGTGTAGCCTCTCGACTGCCAGCCCCCAGCGCCCCGTCCGCCGCGCCGGGTGGAGGCAGCCCCTCGCCTGTGGCCAGGTTCACGGTGGCCACGGCCGCGAAGCGCGGCTCCTCCTGCTCCGCGTCGCTGACAGATGAGCCAGGGGACGTGCCCGGGGGCCGGGGGCCTGCACGGAAAGCACGGGCCAGGTCCCCCAGCTCGTAGCCGCTGTCGCCCTCGGGTGCCCGCGCCGTGCTGCCCGCCGCCCGCCATTCCCAGGGTGCCCCGGCCGCCGACAGGTGCACCACGGGGTGGTGCGGTGCGTGCGCGTCCACCGTGACCACGCTGGCCGAGTCGCGGTCCGACGGCGAGCGGTACTGCGAGGAGTCCGAGCTGGCGCTGGACGACGACGCCGTCTCGGCCGCCGCCTTGGCGCCCGGCGCCTTGGACATGGCGATCACCTGCAGGAGGCGCGGTGGGTTGGGTGCGCGGGGTGGCGCCGTGGCTGCGGGCACAGCGGCTGTGCCCTTCTCCGCCATCACCAGCCACTTGGCACGCACCGCGGCGCCGCTCTTGGGGGACAGACCCGTGCCCGCCGCCGGCACGCCCTCCTCGGGGATGTGCACGAGTGGCTGCGGGCCTGGGCGCTGCGGGAGCAGCACGCGTGGCCCCAGCCCGGGCCGCGCCTGCACGGTGGGATACAGCGTGGGTGGCGCGGGGCCCCCGTCCTCTTCCACTTCCTCCTCTTCTTCCTCGTCCTCCTCTTCCTCTTCGTCCTCGTCCTCCTCTTCCTCCTCCTCCTCCTCGGCCATGGGCTCGGCGGGCGCGCGCAGGTGCGCAGGGCTGGCCTCGTCGGGGAGCCCCAGCGCGCGCCCCTCCTGTGCCTTCTGCTTCCACTGGCTGATGAGCTGCTTGGAGCGGGAGGCGTCGAGCGGCACGTGGATGGTCATGTGGCGGCGCGCGGGGTCATCGAGTGAGGGTGTGCTGACCCGCGGCAGCGTGTTGCTGAAGGTTACCATGTTCTCCTTGCCCATGGGGCTGCGCGGGGCCAGCAGGTCCACGTCCACGCTGGCGCGCTTCAGGCTGCCCAGCGAGGTCTTCTCGCGCGCTGCAGGCCGCGGCGCCCCTTCCGAGCGCCCCGACGGGCCCAGCTCGTCCGTGCTCACCGATTTGCTCTGCTGGTAAACCGAGTCATGGCCGCGCTGCGCCAGCGCCCTCAGCGGGTCCTTGATGGGCGCCGGGGCCGAGGACTTCTCTGCAGGCAGAGCCTGGAAGTTGCCCACCGCGTGGCAGGCCTGGAGAGACACGGCCGGCATCGGGACCCGCCCGGGGGGCTGGGGGACCCGCATTCAGGGCAGCACAGGGGCCGGGGGAGTCGTGAGGGTCAGGGCTGCGCAGCATGGGGAGAAAACACTGGCACAGAGCTCTGGGTGGACACTCTCTCCCCTCAGACACCCCAGGGGTCCCACCAACCTCCTCAGGTCTCCTCGGTTTTTGTTTTTTGGTACCAGGAATCGAACTCAGGACCCTGCATTTGCCAGGCAGGCGTTTGTGCCGGTGAGTTCACCTCCCGACCCCCTGAGTTCGTGTGCCTCTTCGCTCAGACGCTGCCGGCATCTGGCTACTCACCAGGTAGGCGGCGATGCCAGCCCCGATGAGGAAGCCAGCATAGACGTCCACAGGGTGGCTGCGGTACTGGGTGATCTGGGTGAGCCCGCACACGCCGGCAGCGATGGCGAAGGCAAACACCAGGATGGGCTTGAGCAGCTTGGTGGTGTCCGAGATGACAGAGTTGAAGTACATCTGCGGGGAGCGGCAGTCAGCAGGCGGCCGGCTCCCACGGGGTGGCCGCATGAGGGCTGCGGGCTGGGGACGCACTCACCGACACGTAGACTGCGGCGAAGGCCGAGAGCGTGGCGTGCTGTGACGGGAAGGTCTTCCTGGAAGAGGTGACCAGCGTGAGCCCTGCTGCCCAGGGACTGGCTTCGTGCCTGTTTCCCCATGTGTCCAGTGGGCCAGGAGGGCAGGGCTGTGACACTCCCGCCCGGGGCGCCCAGGGTGGGGCTCACCGTGCAGACAGGATGGCGTGGGTATCGTGGCCCGAGCAGATGTCCTGCGTGATGTAGGGGTTCGCCTCACACGAGGTCCCCAGCAGTGTGTAGTTGGGCTTGCACACAGTGAGGAAGAAGGGTGCGTGGTAGCCGGTGGCCAGCTGGATGACGTCCGTCACCAGGGCGGTGGCACAGAGCCCGAAAACGTGGACGCCTGTGGGGTGGGAGGCTCGGGCGGGTGAGGGAGCCAGGGCTAGGCCCCCTCCCCACCCTGGGCGTGAGCTCAGCGCGGGACTCACCGACAAAGCGCACCGTGCGCCGCAGGAAAGAGTTGAAGTTGCAGCCACCTGCGTTGATGCTGCCCTCCGCCCCGCCGGGCCCCCCGCTGCTGCGGCTCCAGAGCCGCGACTGCAGGCAGTACAGCAAGCCCTCGCCCACCATGATCTGCCAGGACCACAGGGAGGCGTCAGGGGCCGGCACATCCGGGTTCCCGGGCCAGCCCCGCCCTGCCCTGGGCATGCACTCACTGAGGCGGCGGGGGCTGCGAAGGCCAGGCTGAGCAGCATGAGCAGCGGAATGAGCTCCTCGCTGGTCTCCACGTAGGGCATGGACAGTGTGCGGTCGTAGCACTGAAAGCCCACCTTGGCCGGCTTGAAGAGGTCGGTCAGCTCCAGGAAGTACAGGGACACGATGGAGGACGCCACGATGGGCAGCTGCAGGAGACAGCGCCAGGGTCACCTGCCCATCTGTGCGTTCGCTGACATGCTGTGTGGGCACTGAAGATCAGCCGGCACACCCATTCTCCATCCGTGAATCAGTTTATCCATCCACAGGGTTCTCCAGCCTTTGTCACCAACTCACTATCTGTCTGATTATCCATTGATCCCTCCACCTGCCGTCCACCCCCACATCGACACACTCCACCACCTAGCCAGCCGCCATCCATCCCCCCACGCCCCACCCACCCAGCCCCATCCATCCATCCATCCATCCACCCTCTTGCTACCCACCCACCTCTCCATCCACCAACCCACTTACCCCTCCTCGCCTTCACCCATTTGTCCCTGACTTCCCCCAGGGGAAGTGCAAGGGACTCTTTTTTTGGTTTTCTTTTTGGGATAAGGTCTTGCTATGTGGTTTAGGCTGATCCTGAGCTCACTATGTAGCCCAGGCTGGCCTCAAACTCATGGTGATGCTCCTGCCTCAGCCTCCTGAGTGTGGGGATTACAGGTGTGGGTCACCAAGCCTGGCTGAGCTCTTGTTTTCGCAGAAGGAACCAACATATCTCTGCCCCCGGGTTTCTCTTTTCCTTTCCTCCCTGCTGGGATGTGCTAGCTCAGACACCCTCTGTCCACGGCCCCGCCCGACACCCACCTGTCCCTTGCACTGCTTTGGCTCCGCCCCCACCAAATGTGCACAAGGGCCAGGCAGGAGCCAGCTGGGGGTCTAGAGGGAGGGCTGCAGGGTCAGTGGGCGTCTGTAGCATGGGAATCACTGGGTTTGAGGGAGTGGGGCTCAGGCCCAAGGGGCACTGACTAGATACCTGCTGCACAGAGGCCCAACGCCCAGGAAAGCGAGCAAGGAGGAGGGCGGTGTCAGGCATGTGCCATGGTTTGGATCAAACATGTTCTCCAAAGCCAGATGTGGTGTCACACACCTGTCACCTTCAGGATTAGGGGGACTGAGACAGGAGGATCGAAAGTTCAAGCCCAGCATGGGCAATTTAGTGACTTAGCTAGACCCTGTCTCAAATAAAGAATAAAAATCGCTGCAGCTGTCGTCAGTGTGAATGCCCCGGGTTCAATCCCCAGCATACCCACCCCCACCAGAGAAAGCCAGTTAGCTGACGGCTGGACGTGCCGTGAGGCAGTGGAGGCGGCACCGGGCTGTGGCCTGGAACGGCACGTCCGGTCCCCAGCCCCTTCCTCTCTGGCTCTGCCCCTGCTCTGCTTCCCGAACGCCATGGATTGCACAGCTCTGCTCCGCAATCGTGTGCCTCAGTTTCCCCAGGCATGTGATAGGAATGACAGGGCTCTGGGCACCGTGAGCAAGGACTTAGATGAATAAAGTAAAGTAAAAAAGTGCTTCAATCAGGCTGGACGGCACAGCCTGACTGGACGGCAATTACACATTATCACCAGCCTGGCTTAGCCCAGGCCAGCAGCCAGTAGGAAGGCTGGGGAAAGGTCTGCGGTGGGGGTGTGGCACAGCCTTAAAAATACCGAATCCTAGCCGGGCATGGCAGCATGCACCTGTAATCCCAGCACTCAGGAGACTGAGGCAGGAGGATCACTGTAAGCTCAAGGCCAGTCTGGGCTATGTAGTGAGTTCAAAGCCAGCCTAAACTACATAGGGAGACCCTGTCCCAGACACATAAAATTGTTGTAAAGTTCCCTGTCGTTCCCACCCATGAGGCTCAGGAAGGCCAGGCTGTGATTGGAATGACCTGTGTACCTGCTCGCCAATACAGCATGAGGCAGGCAGAGCCAGACCAAAGGCAGGGATCCTCAGGACACTGTGGAGCCACAGCAGGATCTCGGGCTTGCGGGGGGTGGGGGCAGGACTACCATGCAAGAAGAACCAGCAGCCTGGCAGCCGGCACTTGCGGGGACAGTGAGGTTCAAGGCCAGGCCAGGGCCCCACACTGACATCCAGCACCTCCACAATCCTCCTACCCATTCATTTCTCCCGGATGCTTAGCTGAAATCCCTGGACACCAGAGACTGCATGTGGCCCAGGGGCGAGGTATTCAGTCACTCAAAGACTTCCTGACAATGTGATATACTTTTTTTAAAGGTCTGATGCCTGGCAAGGTGCTACGCACCTGTCATTCCAGCTACTCAGGAGGCTGAGGCAGGAAGATTCCAAGTTCAAGCCCAGCCTGGGCAACTCAGTAAGACCCTGTCTCAAAGTAAAAAATAAAAAGGGCCACAGATGCAGCACAGTAGGGGGTGCTTGCCTAGCACCAACAAGGCTCTGGATTCTGCCCTCAGCACTGCCAAAAAAAAAAAAAAAAAGAAGAAGAAAAAAGAGAGAGAGACTGAGAGAGAGACCAAATGCAAAAGATTCCATGCATTGAAGTGCACCAGTAGTCTCACCTACTGGGGAGGATAAGGCAGGAGGGTCAGTTGAGCCAGTTTTGTTTTGTTTTGCTGGGTTTTTTTGAGACAGAGTCTTGCTATATAGAGCAGCTTGGCCTTGAACTCATGGCAATCCTCCTTTCTTGGACTCCCCAGTACTAGGATCACAGGTGTGTGCCACCACGCCCTGTGTGCTTGAGACAGTTTGAGGCCAACCTAGGTGACACAGTGAGACCCTGTCCCACAAAAAATATCAGGTCCTCAACCTACAGTGGAGCTAAAGTGTAACACGCAGCTTCTGCTTTCTACTTTCATTTATTTATTTATTTTGTCTTTTTGAGACAGGGTCTCCCTATGCAGTTCAGGTTGGCCTTGAGCTCACTTTGTTGCTCAGACTGGTCTCGAACTCGAAAGGATCCTCCTGCCTCAGCCTCCCGAGAGCTGGGATTACAGGCGTGAGCCACCACGCCCAGCTGCTTTCTACTTTCAGTATTAAGTCACAGGAGATATTCAACGCCTTTATTATAAAATATGTTTGTTGTGGTTGTTTTCCATACTGGGGATCAAACCCAGGGCCTTCACATTGAGCTGCACCCCCAGCCCTTTTTATTTTTTTATTTTGACAGAAGGTCTTACTAAGCTACTAAGTTGCCCAGCCTGGGCTCAAACTTGGGATCCTCCTGCTTCAGCCTTCCAGTGTGGTAGGATGACAGTGCGGGGCCCCACGCCTGGCTCCTGGCTCCAATGTATGTGTTCTGGGTGGGCTCAGATACACTGGGCTGGGGCAGTGTCAGCTGCTTAGGTGTACCGAATGCTCTTTCTTGCGGGGAGGCAGTTGAGGCTGGCCTTGAACTCATTACTGAGCCCAAGCTGGCCTCAAACTTGACAAAATCCTCCTGCCTCAGCCTCTCATGTGCTGATATCACAGGCATTTACCACCACATCCAGGCTGAATGCTCCTTCAAATGAGAACCTTTTCCAGTTCTGACAGGGCCCAATCCCAAGCGAGGCCCAATCCCAAACAAGCCACACGTGTTCTCGTAACACAGCAACTGTGAGTGAAACCAGCAATTCAGTTTTTCACCCACGGACTGGTCGGAATCCAAAAGTCTGCTGCCTCAGGGTGCCGGCTGTGACTGAGTAAACAGAGGCGCAGGGGGTGTGTGCAAGGCTGTCGCCTCCCCCCCAGGGAGCACCTGGGCATCTCCTCCAAAGTGACTGTGCCCTTTTCTCAACATTCACTCTTCGGGGGTGTATCTTTTGTTTTGTTTTTTGTCTTTTTGAGACAGGCTCTCACTATGCAGTTCAGGCTGGGCTCACTCTGTAGCCCAGGCTGGCGTCAAACTCGAAAGGGTCTTCTGGCCTCAGCCTCCCGAGTGCTGGGATTACAGGTGTGGGCCACCACGCCCGGCTCTGAGGTTTATCTTTATCCTACACATGATTACTTTTATTAGGTTTTTTTTTAGTACTGGACATGGCGCCCAGGGCCTTACATCCTGGGCAAATACTCTGTCCCTCAGCTGTATCCTCAGCCTTTTTCTTTTTTCTGAGACAGGGTCTCCCTACCTAGCCCAGACTGGCCTTGAACTTGTGGCGATCCTCTTGCCTCGGCCTCCTGAGTGCTGAGATTACAGGTATGTACCACCCTGCCTGCCCTTCAGCTCTTTTTATTTTGAGACATGGTCTTGATTAGTTGCCAGGCTTGACCTTGAATTTGTGACCTTTCTGCCTTGGCCTCCTGGGTAGATGAGATCACAGGCATGTACCATGGTCCCCAACATAAGCTCATTCTTGGGAAGGACAACAGTGCAGGCCAAGGATTTTCGTCAAGGGAGCATCCCTGATGACAGAGGTCAGAAGACACAGCTGTGCCCAGCCCCTGTGGATGGAGTACTACACAGGAGGGAGAAAGCCCGAGATGCTTTTGTGATGCTAATCCAAGATCTCAGCTGGAACAACGATAGAAGCAGAAGTATGTGGTTTTGTTTGTTTGTTTGTTTGTTTTCAGATGTATGTGTTTAAAAAATGGAAGAAGCCGGGCGTGGTGGTGCACACCTGTAATTCCAGCACTCGGGAGGCTGAGGTAGGAGGATCGCTGCAAGTTCGAGACCAGCCTGGGCTACAAAGTGAGCTCAAGGCCAGCCTGAACTGCA